AAAGTAGTGTACTCCTCTAAGTTAGGGTCTATTTAGATCTTATTAAAGGCAGCATAAATATCTAGCTTAGTAAAGATTTTTACTTTAGCTAGCTAGGATAATAGATTATCTATATAGGGTATTAGATACGCGTTCTTTCGCGTTAAGCTGTTAAGCTTATAGTAGTCTATACAGATCCTAAGGCCTCTATTTAGCTTCTTAACGTATAGGATAGGAGAGGTAAATAGGCTCTAACTAGTCTTAATAACACCTTTCTATAGGTGCTCTTATACATATTCCTTAGTAGCCTAGAGTTCCTTAGCATTTTAATAATAGAGGGGACTCTAGTAGTTTAGAAGGGGTTCCTCTAAGACTATCTTATAGTTATAAGGGTGGTAGATTAGAAGTTTGTTAGGCTTAGCCTTGTTAAAGACGTCCTAATAGGAGTTATAGTTAGATAGGAGCTTCTAATCTAACAAGCTGTAGTTAAGAGCGTCCTATTTAGATAGGGTTTAGATCCTACACTTAATCTTATATAGGCTAGTAGTAAAGAATTTATTAGAAGATTTTTTTATATTAAAATAGAAAGTATTAGTAGAAATAGTAGTAATTTAGAATTTTGCAGGTAGGGTAATAGTTAGTAATTAGACTAGGGTAGGTAGCGTAATAGGTTTAGTAGCAGCCCTATAAGTAGCTAGAATTTTAAGTATACTACGTATCCTATTAATTAAACTAGGACTATTTTACTTCTAGTTCTCTTCTTAATCCTAAAGGGCGTCTCTTTGCAAGATATTATAGGTAACTAGAGTAGATAGCACTTGCTAGTAGAGTTATACTAGAATAGGAGGTGCAGGGTTATAGGTTAGAGGATATTTCTCTAGCTAGATTAGTCAAGATTTATCTGTATTAATTAGGATTTAGAACTATTTTAGCTAGTATTGTCTAATAATATAATCCTAAGAACCTAAGTCTACTATTATAAAGGGGTAGTTATAAACCTTTTAGCTACTAACTATTATATAAAGCTAAATATAGTAGGCAACTAGGGAGGTAATCTAATCCTAGAATCCTTTAATAGTAAGCTTGTATAGTAGCTTTTAGATATATACCCTAAGTATAGAAGAGATATTATAAGTAATTTTTAAATTAAGAAATAAATAACCTTAGGCCCTAGTATCTACTAAAGCGTTTAGGCAAACACTAGATCTATTAAGGTATAGGGTTGTACGTGCAAGTAAATAGGAACTAATAAATAATTTAGTTAAGGAAAGGTTTAACAGGTTATATTAAGTTAGGCCTAGGAAGGAGGATCCTCCTAGGCGTTATTATTTCCTGTCTAATAGTTATCTAAATTAGTTAATTAAGTGGTTTCTTCTTCCTTAGAATTCTTAATAACCTATTCTACATCTATAGCCTAAATCCTAGGGGGTTTAGGGTAGTTACTAGAGAAGTGCCTAGGCTTTCTATAATTATAGCAAGTTACTAGGGTTCCTATTATAGTAGCGCTAGGAGTGGCTAGCGTAGTGGATAGGGGTTAATTATTTTAAGGGGTAGTGCCTTGTTATTATAAGTAGGGTATATAAGGTTTACCTATTAAAGGTCTATTATAGGGTTTCTAATTAACGTCTAAATAGGACTAGTTTCTAGAGTATTAGAAGGGGGTTAGTCCTTTTCTAGATAATAGAGTAGTCTAGGTAGGAATAGATAAGGTAGGGTATAGGTAGCGTTCTATATTAAAAGTAGTAAGATAATCTACTATAGTCTTAAAATTATTATACTAATTCTGTTAGAAAGCAAGGTTTAGTATCCTTAGGAAAGGTGTAATCTTTATCTAGAGGTAGTAATACTACTCTAATTAGGGTACTTCTCCTCTAATAGTAAGACTCTAGAATTATAACTTAAAAGTAGGGAACGTCTCTATATTAGTTATATACAGGTGGTTAAATATAGTCTAACTTTTAGCTATCTTATTTCTAGTAATAAAGTAGGTTTAAAGGAGGATAATTATTTTCTTAGCTTTTTAGAATTAAAGACTTAGGGAATTAGATAGGTAATATAGCTCTAAGTATTCTCTTGCTAGTCCTAAGTAGTGTCCCTAGACTAACGCTATCTAAGCTGTAGAAGAGGGGTAGTAATTAGCGTTAATCTCTAGCCTATCCTAAATAGATGCTTGCTATTATCTAAAAGTAGGATTAGCACTATTACTAAGTATAGAGATATTTAGCGTCTTTTTAGATTATCTCTTAGCTTTTATAGTATATACTATAGGGTTTAATATAGAAGCTAAAGACTAGCTAGGTTAGGTAGTACCCTATATCTCCTTATAGAGGGAGGTGTTGTACAACTAATTAGTAAGTTGCTTAACTTGTTCCTCTAACCTCTCCTTTTTAGATAGGGTTAATATATATTTATCTTTAAGGGAGGTGTTACTTTAAGATTTCCTAGGAGCACAAGGTACCTTAAGAGAGGGATAGGAAGTAGGTCCTTCTAGGAGGGCGTTGTTAATTAAGTCTTCCTTATCTAATTTCTTTCTATTAGTAAATAGGCTTTTAAAGTAGCTAAACTAGATACCCTTCTATTACCTTTATTTAATATTTTGTAGTTAATAAGAATAATAAATCTTTTCTTTTTAGGGGGTTTGGTTATAGGAGGATATTAGCTTTGCCTCTAATTCCTCTAGGCTTTTAGTAGTCTCTAGGTCTCTACCTTAACGTAATCTAACGCGATTTTTCTAAAGGTAATCTAGCACTACCTATAGGTCTAGAAGTCTAAGCCTATAGGCTTTAGTTATTAGAAGTTCTAATAGCTGTTCTAACTATAGAGTTACAGGGTTAGATAGCTACTAGAACTAAATTAGTAGCTTAAAATAATAATAAGTGCGATATTCTTAAATACTATTACTAGCTAGTATAATGTTCTTCTTATAATATAACAACTTAGGTAGGTAGGGTATCTAAAAGATATCCTATATAACTTAAAGGTATATAGGAGTGCGCGTCTATATAGAAAAGGATAAGATTCCTACACCTATAGGTCTTGTACAAAAGGACAAGAAGAATATGCCTATCCTAACTATAGGCGAGCTGTTCTCTATATATATTAGTAAGTTAGGCCTTTATTAGGCCTAACTTAGCATAGAACAATAGGCAGGCAATTCTGCCTTATTGTTACACCCCTAAGGGTAGAGTACTCTAGGCTAATAAAAGAAGGAATCTACTAGAATTAGTAAAGGAACCCTATTAGACTTAGATACTTACTAGATTGCAATATATATTCTAGGAGATATAGTACTAGCACTTCTTAGAATTCTTTAACTTAAAATTAAAATTGTTAAACCTGCCCCTAGCTAGAGCCCTAACTGCCCTTATATAGAGAGCGCGATAAGCAATAGGGAGGACTCCTAGTAGTACTAGTACTAGCATAGCTAAAGGTTCTAATTTAGATTAGTAACTATTTAATTATATAGATTAAATACTTACTAGATTTTAGATAGATTAGGTTAAATAATTAAAAAATAGGGGATATAAGAATAAGAAAGTTAGTAGGTAGAGGGCTAGTTATATGCAGGCTAAGGATAGGGGTCTATACCCTAGGAACAAGAAGTAAAGGTAAAGGTAGAGGTAAAGGTAGATTTATTTTATAAGAGCTTTTCTTTAATAAGAGATCTAAACCTAGTCCTAAGGATAGGGAATATCCTTTCTCTATAGGAGGGGGTAGTATAATAATAAGGTAGAATTACCTACCTATTATTCTATACTAAGTTAGGCCTAATAAAGGCCTAACGTACTAATATATATAGAGAACAGCTTGCCTATAGTTAGGATAGGCATGTTCTTCTTGTCCTTTTGTACAAGACCTATAGGTGTAGAAATCTTATCCTTTTTAGTATAGACGCGTACTCCTATATGCCTTTAAGTCGTATAGGATACCTTTTAAATGCCTTACCTACCTAAGTTATTATATAGATAGAGTAGATAGATAAGTTCTTTATATCCTTTTATATAAGACCTATAGGTGTAGAAATTATACCCTTTTCTATATATACGCGTATTCCTATATGCCTTTAAGTTGTATTAGATACCTTTTAGATGCCTAACCTACCTACGTCGTTACAACACGCGTATTAGAGGATTAGTAGAGAGGTAAACATAAGGAGCTCTCGTTAGGCAGGGACTATATATTCAGACTGGATAATTGTCTAAAAGAACAGGTACAAACCTTAATCCTGTGCAACAGCTTTGGCTAGATAAGTGTACTTAGTTTCTAGATATAATTAAGTAGATATTAGCCAATTAGAATAACATATTAGGCTACTATTACCTAATATAATTATTTACCTATTATTCTTAATATATACGTTACTAGTATATTATATTTTAAGATAACTTAAAAATTAGTGGTATAGAGTAGACTAGAAAGTTACTATTATAGGAGGGATAATAACTAGATTATAGAGCATCTTAATCTAATTAACTAATCTAAATCCTAATTAATATCCTAAATCTATACCCCTAGCTAATCCACTATCTAATTAACTTCTAGCTTACTACTAAGTGCCTAATAGAAAAAGGAGCTCTAGTAACGAAGGTTTACTAATTATATACCTTCTAGGAAGGGTAGTTAAAGCTCTATTTATATACATCCTATTATAGTAGATATACTCTAAATATTCTTTCTCCTAAATTATTCCTAAGCTTAGTAATCTAAATTTCCACACGTGTTATAATTCCTGCATTATAATATAGTATGCAAGTCCTAGCTAACTTAAGAATTATCTTCTAACTTTAGATAGTCAATACTCTAATAAAAATTCCTATCCTTAGATACAAGTTTAATATTGTGACGTGAATAAGTTTATGTTTACCTATGTTGTGCTCTTTTGTTGCTAAGCGGCAGCTGCATAGTACTAGTTGCAGTTGCTTGCACTGTTCAAGATCCTTACATGCTCTTACCCTGGTTGGACGTCCCATTTCCCAGGATTAAGCCTTCTAACTGTTGCGATTGTCTCATACTTTCGAACTATGATCAATCCCTGGCCAACGAAGCCATTTTGGTGGGTCACATGGCCCGCTCTACTTTCGGCGTCCCAAGAGGGATGGCACGTCCTGCCTTATCCTGGCTGCTATGGGTGAGACTTACACACAACATCTTAACCATCCATTATATTCGACACAATCAACTTGACCCCTACAACCTATGCACACACTGTACCTATAGTCATCTGCTGCACAGAATGAGCAGCTGCCCAATCTAGGCCCCCGTTGGCGCTGTTCGGCTACTCAACGCGGTCGCGTCAATCCATGCAGCGACACAAAACGCTAAACTCCCAGATCGTCGACCATTACGTTGCAGTTGCCAGTGAGGGTTCGCGCGAAGAGGTGCGCGTGGCATTTGCACAGGCACTGCGAGTGGCACAGACAACCAAGGGCATTGTTAACTTGTCAACGGTCGCGGGTCGTGTATCTGCCCTGACGCGCAATTACGTGATGCTACTCGACACCTTCTGGACGTCAACGTTTTGGCTCGCTGTACACCGTCACTTTGACCAGTCGCTAGCTGCGTTTGTGGCAGAGAGACAGGAAATATACGAGACTCCAACACTATACCAGAAGCTGAATAGCATTACCCACATTATCGACTACTGGGGTGACGGGTTCTGGCACGACTTGGGCCGCCTGGGTGTTCGCCTGCCTCTGAATCCGGGCAAGAACTTGATTGAGCAGGTATACAAGGCTGCCGTACAAAGCAGGTCATTAGCCACCTTCGCCTGCAACATTCGCTCGCGATTTCTAGGTGGAAGCGGCACATACTTTGTTGGGGGACTCGTCCGAGCCAAGAAAGGCGAAACATTGAAGAAGCAGGTCAACGCCGGGACGTACGTGCTGGCAAGGCTGCCGCTTGCGGCCTACATTGACGCTGTCGATACCGGCGCATGTTCAGAGCCAGACGCGAGCGAGGTGTTGGCGTGGCAGGCGACCTGGGAGGAGCGAGACGGTGAGATTGGCACTGACAGGTCGGGGGACGACTCAGATCCGGAGTCTGAAGGGGGAGGCGTGCAGGCTGAACAGAACGACAGCGCGAGCGAGAGCGAGATAGGTGAGCAAGAAGCGCATGTTGCGCCAGAGGCGCAAGACGAGCAAGACGACCTCACGAGGGAGAGAGGCGAGCAACAGGCGCAAGATGCGCAAGATGACAGCGAGATAGATGTCCAAGGGGCGCAATTCAACCAAGACGACAGCGAGATACATGACCAAGAGGCGCAATTCAACCAAGACGACAGCGAGACAGATGACCAAGAGGCGCAATTCAGCCAAGAAGACAGCGAGATAGATGATCAAGAATCCCAGATTGGGCAAGAGGCGCAAGACGACCAAGACGACACGGGGGTAGACGAGCAAGACGGGCGAAAAAACGGGAAGATGTCATCAAAGCGACGGCGCAGCGCATCACCCGAAATCCGGCGAAATCGCGTGCGATCTTTGTCTCTGTCGGATGACCACGACCACATAACGCATAGCTGGATTGAAGACAGTACTCTTAGCATGCTAGGGGAAAGACAGAAGCCTGTCGACCATAGATCGACGAGCACGCACACTCGGGCTATGCATGAGATGGTGGACAGTCTTGGGCAAGGGCCATGGGCCCTGGCCATGAATGCGGTACGAGAGGCTCTTGGAGCAGGAGACGAGGCGTCGCTCAGGTTAACGAGTGCGAAGACGCAGCTCCAACAGTCTCGCCGTAATTGCTCAATGGTCAGAAGGCTAGTGCAGGCTGACCTTGGATTGACGGAGCCTGGTACGGCAGAGATGATTAGTGCACGCATTCGGCCACTAGAACGACGGCAACAGCAACTCCAAGGGCTTTGTGAACTGCAGCAGCGAATGCGTGAGATACGCGAGTGTGCGGATGCGGACACGCAGGATATGGACCGGCATTTGCCTGTTGGAAGCTCAGAAGCCCTCAAAGCCGACATGGACACAGTGGCACAAGAAGTTAACAGACTAAGGGTGTGCCTTGGCAATATGCAAAAGGTGGAACAAGCAGTGGCAGCGGCGGAAATGGTGGTTGCGCATGCGGAGCAAGCGGTCAATCTGCACATCAAGGACCAGGGGGAGTTTGCCATGTTGGTGGAAATGGTACAGCACGCAGAAGGACGAGAGCGGTTTGCAAGGCCTGGACGGGGCACGAGACAAGAGCGGTAATGCAGGGGTGCAGTGGGGAAGAGAGATGCATCTTGCTACGACAGTCTAGAGAGTAAATTTCACAACGCCACCGCCTTCTCATTTCAACATGTCTTAGTCAAGGGTAAGAACTTGGGTTTATGACCGATTGCCGATCCCCCGTCTTGCAAGATGATGTGGAGGCTGAAGCTGGCAACAGTATGGTAGCAAGGGAGACGATGATGACACACCTCTTGTACCTACCAAGGCTGCGCGCGCCATGGCCGTGTTCAACCTATTGCCATCACTTTACTAGGGATCCTCACTAAAACAGAGATTTAGAATACTAAGGATATCTATTCAACTATATTCTTCTACTCTTACCTTTCTATATAAAAGTGTTACTTTAAATATAAATATCTTTAATTTAAATTAGATAGATTTTTAAAGATAATAGTAGTTTAAAAGTTATATATAACTTAAAAAAGTATACCTAAATTTTAGAAAGATAATATCTTTAACTAGTAATAATAGGATAAAAAATCATTATAATACTATAGGTAGGTAGAAGTATCTAAAAGGTATTTAATATAACTTAAATGTATATAAGAGTATATATTTATATAAAAAAGAATATAATTTCTTTACTTATAGGTTATATATAAAACAATATAAAGAACTTATCTATTTATTTATAAGTATTAGGTATATTGTATATCTAGACGTAGAGGAGCCTTAGTATAGAGTTAGCGCTTAATTAGAGCTATATTAGGGCTAGTAATATCTTACGTAGTCTAATATAAACAAGAATAAGTAGTTGTGAAGGGCTTAGGCTTATGCCCAAGCCTAGGTCTAACACAAGATAGACTAAGTCTAACACCACTACTAAGCAAACACACTAGATACCTATAAAAAGGCGTAGAGGGCTTACCTCTCCTTTAAGATACTAAATACTATTATTAACGCTTATTATATTCTCCCTTAAGGCTAGTCTATAATATTTTAGTATCTTCTTCTAAATATACTATAATAGTAATAAGAGATAGATACACTAGATATTTAGAATAATTAGGTGTAACCTAATATAGTAGAAAGGCTAATATAGTAGGTCTATAGATTAATAGAATAATAGGCTTAAGACTCTACTATAATAGCTATACTACATTAATAGAATAAGGAAATACGCAATTAGATTCTATCCTAACCCTCCTCTAAGCCTGCTAGGTTTAATAATCTACTACCTCTACCCTCTTCTACCTTATAATATAAACCCTTCCTAGTTAGCTTACTATATAATAGTACTAAGGTAAACTTTTCCTTCTAGTAAATAACTATAGAGTTTAAACTATATATAGATAAGGTCTTTATTAGGAATAAAAAGGTAAGGTTTATATATATTTAGTAATAGCTATTACCTATAGTCTAGCGCGCTATAGTACTATACTTTAAGGATAGTACACGCAAGCGTTAGGATATAAGCAGGTTTCTTAACTACCTAGCGTTCTATTATAGTAACTATTATAGGCAGGAGCGCGCCTAAGTTATATTAGAATACTTATATTAAGCCTAAAATTAGCCTTTTATAGAGTTCTTTATAAATTTTATATAGCTTCTTATATAGTTAGGAGGCTTATACTAGGATAATAAATAAAAGCTTTATAACTTTAGTAATCTCTTAATAGCTATATACGCTTAGTTTCCCTTAATAGGGGAGTCTCTAGGATAAACTATAATATAGCTATAGAGGAATATAAGATAATTATAGTAGATATTAAAATAGCCTCTCTAGAACTAGGTTTTCTTTAGGCTAGTAAGTCTAAGGAACCCTAGTAGAAGTCTACCTTAGATTAGGATAGTAATATAAATATAGTAGAAGTAGTAGCCTTATTAAGTGCACCTACTAAACTACTAATATTATATCCTAACTAGATCCTATAGGACCTATTTAATATATAGAAACTAGCAAAGGTCTATACCTAGTGTAGATAGGGCAGTTATTTTATACGTGTATGTCCTAATACCCTATTACTATAACTAGTAGGTGTTAAGACAGTTATAGTATTAGTAAGCGGCCCTAATTTAGGAAACTAGCTACCCCTAACCCTAGGCTAAGTTAGGGGTATAAGGAGGACACTATAATAGAGGAATTATTAATAGTAGAGGCTATTAAGTATCCCCTAGATATTAAGGCTAGGTTAAATAATCCTCCTTTCTTTATTCCCCTCCTCCTAGGTAGAGTAGAGAACGTGTAAGCAATAGTTAATTAAGGGTGCTAGTGTTTTAGTGTAGTTAAGGAAAAGTTAGTAAGATAGATTAGTAGAAACTTTATTAATATTCCCCTGTGACCCTTATAATATACCTAGGGAATTACTAAGGGTATAAGAATTTTATAGTTAGTAGTATTAGACTATAATTTAGATAGTTAGTAGTCTTAGCTTTTAGCTTATATAGTACCTAGTCTCTCCTATTAACTAATACTAGGCAGACTATAGCTATATAGAGAGGGCGTTGTTATAGACATTCTATAAGGCGAATTAATAATTAGGAAGGCAGGAAATATAGTAGTACAAGAGAGTAGGAGACGCCTATATCCTACCTATATCTCTACTATCTTAGGTTTAGTTATAGCAGGGTTACTAAATTAAGGATCCTAATAGGAAGATATATAGGTATAAATTTTTATAATAAATATACTAGATATATTATAAGTAATATATAACTTGCGCCTAATAAAATATCTAGGAAGTGTTAATAAGGGAAGTCCTATTAATATATATACTATCTATATTGCTAGTAATATAGTTCCCTATAAGCCTAAGCATAAAACTAGAAAGAGAAAGTTGCTACTAGAACTATAAGAGTTTAAGGACCTGTTTAACAAAGAGTTAGTAGGTAGTTTACTACCTTATTAAGGTAGTATAGATTACTATATTTAGTTAATAACCCTCCTAGATAGAACCTAGCCTAACCCCCTATAGGGTCCTCTGTACCCTATATCGCGTAATTAATTGCTAGTACTAAGAACACAACTTACTAGATTAATAGACAAGGGCTAGATCTAAGCAAGCTCTTCTATAGCTAGAGCTCTAGTGTTGCTAGTAAAGAAGCTGTTAGGCGGTTAGCGCCTTTATATAGATTACTAGATGCTTAATAGCATAATAATATTAGACTAATATCTGACTGACTACATTACTTATAGGAAACTTTAGCGCACACTATCTAGCGCAAAGTAGTTTATAAAAGTAGATATTTGTGCTATCCCTTTTATAAAGTTAGAATAGTAGAAGGTTATAAGTCCTTAATAGCTTTCTACACCTAGTTTAGGTTATATAAATAGTTAGTATATCTATTTAGTCTTAGTAGTGCGCTATCTACTTTCTAATAATATATTAATACTACACTTATAGAGTTACTTAGACTATATATAATAGCCTACCTTAATAATATCCTAATTTATTTAGGAGGAGACTAGTTTAACTATATAGAAAAAGTACAGTATATACTTACGCTATTAAAAGAAGTAGGACTATACCTAGACTTAGAGAAATGTGCTTTTAGTATTAAGGAGGTACGCTACCTAGGCTATATTATTAAGGTAGGCAAATTACTTAGACCTAACCCTAAAAAGCTTAGGGTAGTATAGGAATAGGAATCCCCTAGGAATATAAGAGAGGTAAGGAGTTTCCTAGGTTTTACTAACTTCTACTATAATTTTATTGCAAAGTTTTCTAAAGTAGTAGCGCCTTTAAACTAACTAACTAGAAAGGACACCCTATTCTAATAGGGAGAGGAAGAATAGAGTGCATTTAATACACTAAAAAAGGTATTTATATTAGGACTAGTATTAATATAATAGGACCTAGCTAAAGAAACGTTATTAGAAGTAGACTATTTAGGATACGCTCTTAGGGGTTGCTTATTGCAAAAGGTTAGGGGCGTTTAGCGCCTAGTTACTTACTACTCTATAGCACTAATGCTAGAGAGACAAAACTACACTATATATAATAAGGAATTGCTAGCTATTATTAAGTATCTTAAAAGCTAGTTAGTAGAGTTATAGAGTGTTTACAAACTGTTTATAATATTTATAGACTATAAAAACCTAGAGTACTTTATTAGCCTTTAAAGCTTAAGCAAGCAATAGTGCTGCTAGGTAGAGGAACTTATAAAATATTAGTACATCCTATAGTATAGACCTAGCTATCTTACAGGATAACCTAATACCTTAAGTAGGCAACTATAAGATTTAAACTCCTCTAAAGCAACACTATAGTTAGTAATACGCCCTAAATTAATTTAGGTTGCAGTGTTAGAAGTAGAGGAGGCGTCTAAGTTACTAAAGGGTGCTAGCCTTTTTACTAACCTGTATATATAGACACTATAGGACAAAGTAGTATTAGAAGATAAGATATAATAAGTACGTCTTAATATAGTTTAGAAAGGCGCTAGGTCTTTCCTAGTTCTAGCTAATATAAAGTAATAGATTAGGGACTATACAATTAGCGCACACAGTACTTTGCTTTAGAGGGGCGTTATTTAGCTACTAATATAGGAACCCCTTATAACTACTATTATATAGCAAGCATATAAATTATGTTTAGTAGGATATCTAGGAAAGAATATAATATTTTAAATACTACGCCATAACTACTATTAGGATAGAATATTAGGAGACGTTGCGTAGTATATTTAGAACTACTATTTTTATAGTGCTTATATCTCCTAGAAGCGCTAATAGGGTCTGTTATAACCTATACTAGTTATATTATAATACTAGTCCTAAATATCTATAGATTTTATAGTTAACCTACCTATAAAAGATAATAGTAAACCTTAGTTCCTATTAGTTATTACTAACAGATTATCTAAATATATTTAGCTTAAAGTAATAGTCTCTATAGTAGGTAATTATTATGCAAGGATCTTCTAGGATAACTAGTAGTAGTTCTAGGGCTTCCTATCCTCTATTATTACTAACTAAGGCTCTAACTAGTTAGGATCCTTCTAGATAATATTATACTAGATAATAAAGATAAACTAGT